TGATCAAAGGAATCATATGATAATATGAAATATAAGCATATATCAATTATATGAATATGCTATGTTAATATACTTACCTAAAGTTAGAATATATAAATTAGTATATACCTATAGACACTCTGAATTAAAACAGCCTATATGAGATATTATCTATTAAAACAGTCCTTTTTTATATTGCAAATAGGCAGTTTGGTTACTAGGACTAAACAGATCTTATAATCGATCAGCACCTTAGACAACTATATTGAAAGAGATAGTTAGATTTAGCAAGCAGATATTCTAAAGCTTAAGTTATTTTTCCTACTACTAAGAGACAGCTCAATTATTATTTCAGAAAGTACAATAATCATAAATTAATTAACAGACTTTATAAAGATAATTCTACTATGCTACTTAGTAGAATATCAAGAGATAGTTAAGAAAAGTATAAGTTGAGTAGTAGAATTTATTTAATAAAGAACTTTATTGTTTATATAAGTAACTTAGAAGTTATTCTCCTCTATAGACCTATATGGCCTTTATTTATAATATATAGTTTGAATACAATTTATCTAATTTATTATATAAATATTATAAAAGTAATATATCTAATTTATCATATAAATCTAATAAATCACATAAGTCATATAAGTTTTATAAATGCAATAAATGCAATTTATTTAATTTATGTGATTTATATAACAAATGTAATTTATATAATTTTACTCTCATGACTTGTAGTTACATTATGCTATTTTAGACCAAACTTAACTACTTTTTAGGTCTCATATTTCTCCTCTGCTTATTTTATACTACTAGTATAAAATCTTAAAAACTAAAGATTAGCAACAAAAGTTTATATTTAGTTAATTTAGATATCATAGTATATTTAGTATCTTAAACTTGAAACTAAAATTACTACAATATATTAGGTAATAGAATTCAATTAATAACTACAACTAACCACAGTATGTTAGACTAGTTGAACTCAAAGACTACAGTTAATCTTAGTATATCAAGATTAGTTAAACAAGTTATTAGATAAGTATTATATAAATAAGTTAACAAAGAATATACTGTTATACTATTTTAATAGTAAATTAGGATTAGAAGTTACTCTTTTCTCAGCTTTTAATCTAAATAGGTTTACTATACTAAGTATATATTAGATATACAAAAAAACTCTTTTCTGTACATCCCAATTTACATATAAATTTTTTGTGTACAAGAAAAAGTTAACTGGAAACAACTAACTAAATAAAAATTCTCAAAGAAGTGCAAGTACAAACTACTGGAGTGCTAACAAGCACTCCATACAAAACAACTTCCACATTAAATAATATCAAACAGCAAAAAAAGAGAGACAGAAACAGCAACGACAAAGAAAACAGACCAGGGAGTACTACCCAAAAAGAAAACCAAACAACCAAGAAACACCAACAACAACCTCAACAAAACGAAATGAGCCAAGCTTACAATACAAACAGGCAATGACATGAAGAAGAAGAGGAAACAGAAATAGAAAACAACTAAGACCTTAAGAAAAACAAAAGACACAAAACTATAGATACACCGCAACCCAATATCAGAATAGAAAATCTAGAAAAAAGTAGACAAAATAGCTTACTCCTAACAGATTCACATGTGGGAAAAAATAATAATAACAACAACACAACAACTACCAATTTGGATAAGATCACAACAACTCAAACCAAATTTGGAGATCTGCAATGTACTAGTGACAACATCAATGACAGACAGGAAATTACAACTAACAAATCAGATAATGCAATGATTGAAATAGAAAGTGACCAAACATCTAATAGCCAAACTAGGAATACTAGTAACATAACTATAGAAATAACAAGCTTAGGATCACCTCGTACGATAACACCAAATATTGAACTCAACCAAGAGGAAATAGTTAAAGAGGAAAAAACCAAAGGCAAGAAAACTTCATATAGCCAAGCTCTCTAACAAAATCTAAAAAATAGCATGCATTTAGAAACAGATACAGACTACACAGATCACTAGTAGCAACATATGAAAAAAGCAATAGAAAATGCAATAACAAAGGAATTCAATACAGAGACATGGAATTACAATAAAATCATTCAAGCTCTTAACACAAATGAAGTAATAAAAAACTTCATAGAATACAAACTCAATACAACAACTACTAATATTCAAATTCCTGAGGCAATAAAGAAAAAATTTATTTACAAAGATACAGCTTTCTTTGTAACCTTTACACAAGAGAAAAATACAACACCAGCATACTAAAAAGAGTTCATTGACTTATAAACAAAGGCAATACAAGTATACAAACAAACTAACGAAATTACCTTGCTAAACAGAAAAGTAAGAAACATGATTCAACTCAAACTACGACAAAAAATTATAATTGACTATCTGCTTAATACAAACTTCCAGAAACTTAACAAGTAACAAATATACCAAGAGCTAAAATATGCAAGAAATTTTATAAAAGCAGAAAAATTGAAGACTACACTACAACACAGAAAGCAATAGAAGACATAATAAGTGCAAAACTTCAAGAACTTCCTGAAAGGCCAAATCTAATCTCAGAAGAGATACGAAATATTCTACCCTTCGAACCACCAATCAAAAAAATGTCTCAAACAACTGCTATAGTAAATACACTGAGAATCATTTACAGCTTCAGTCGTCTACCTGATTCATATTTCAAAGAGTTACCTCAACTTCCTAAAACACCTTATGATCTACCTATTGAGATGAAATATACTTTCCCAATGCATACTAGAAGCCAACTTCAACAACTCTGCTACCATGTACAAAAGCTCCAAGATCATTATAGTTTTGAGCAACTACTAAAAACATATTTTGATCTACCGCTACTAAGAGAAGCCTTACTGATAATATTCCATAAGCTCAATAGCTGAGTTCGTGAAATGTTTCTAGTAGATCTATCAACAGAAGAGTACACAGTCAAAAAAGTAAAAGATATACTAAAAAAATACTATATTTTCAAGAGTATACCTAATGACTACTTCAAACAAAGACCTCTACTACCCAAAGATTCTCAAAAAATCAACCTCAATACCAAATTCATATACCCAATAACAGACAATGAAGAAGCAAGAAAATTCATAAAGTTGCTGAAAAGAAGTACAAAATAAGACTTCCAATTGCAACAGAAATTATGACTGCAAACCCTACTAACAAACTATAATTACCCTACGACTATAAAGAAATCAAAGAATTCAATCTAACTATTCTTATTAACACACCACAATCACTAACTGAAATAGCAAGACTACTTAGAACTGCATATTACTTTACAAGAATCCCTAATGAGTAGATCAATATTAAACCAAGATAATACAATACAAAAAATCAAACAGAGAAGGAAACAAAGCCTCTAATCCTATCTACGCTTGTTAAACTCCAAGAGCATATAGAAAATAAAGAAATTAAGCTCCAAATTGAACTACCTATCACTACACAACAAGAAATCATACCAATGATTAATAAGCTTAAAGAGTACTTTGAGATACCACAAATCCTAAACTATTTACTAAATCTACCAGAACTTCCTGCACCATCCTAGAATATCTTTTACTAATGATAGAAAACAACAGTAGTACTAACAAAAACAAAAACAATTCACTAAAAAACAACTTAAAAATTATAACTCATAACGTACGAGGCCTAAAAAATAACTTAAAAAAACAACTCTAGCTATAGTACTGCAAAGAACAAGACATCGATATAGCTAGCATTACAGAAACAAAATTAGCAGAATCAAAATTCGAGACAATAGAGCTACAAAACCCCTAGTACAAGATATATACAGCAAACAACAACTCAACAAATACAAAGTGGTGAGAGATAAGCCTTGGCACAGCAATTGCAATAAAACATACTCTCTAACCATATATCCACAATATTCAAACAGAGCCAGGCACTACAATAAGTGTTGATTTCTTCTTCCCAAACAAGATAAAACTCTGAATTATTTCAGTATATCTACCTTATAACAAAATATTAAATACAAAGACCCAGAATCAAATCATTATATGGACAAAACAGGTAACAAGCAAGGAGATGATACTAATAATCCTAGGGGATTTCAATATAGATCTAAAAAAATATAAACAAAAAATCCAACTCATTACATATATGGAGAGGAATAATATGCTCCTACTACTTCACACCCTGATATCAAATATACCTACATGGAATGCAAGAGGTTCTAGCAGCCAAATAGATAAGATATAGATCCTATCAATACAAATTAACGAATTCACAAAACCACAAATCATCAATGCAACACATATTATAGACAGCAACTATTGTATTATACAAATACAATAGAATATACAAGACAAAATACCGCATATACAACAGAAGAGTACTCATAAAAGAAGAATATACAACTACAATGAAATGACCAAGGAAAAATAGAAGCAATTCAATAAGGAGGTAGAACAACTAATCAATAATACAACAACTTCAAAGTCAGACAAAAAACAGATAGAAGACATGTATTAGTTAAACAAAATATAGAATAAACTCGCTGCAGCAATAATAGAAAGAGCAAAAAAAGATATCTCTAATATAACAAGAAAGATAAACTACTCAATCATCAAAAAACATAACTACTATGCAACCAAAACACATAAAGTCCTCATGAATATTAGGTCTGTATTAAGACATATAGAGACTAATACATCACAGATCGATAGAGAGTAGTGCAACCAAAAAATCATCTAAATCAACAAATCAGTTAAAGAAACTGTACCAGAAATAGTGGATACAGAATCACTTTTTAATATATTCTAAATACTCCTAAAAGAAAAAAGAGAAATTACTAAAGCTCGCAATACTGAAAACAAAATCAGAAAAACAGAAAACATCAAAGAAAAAATACAAAGATGCTATCAAAACTTCTCTGAAAATACATCCAAAATGATCCAAAGTATTCTACAAAAACATACAGACTCAGTAAATATACAAAATATCTGTATTGAAAACAGTCTAATCACAGATCCCACAAAAATCAAAGAAAAGATAAAAGACTACTTTGATAATTAGACAAAATATAATCCTACTAATATGGCTTATTGGCCAGAATAGAAAAAAGAATATAAACAAAAAGAAACTATAAGAGGAAACTGGTATAATAAAACCACAAAACCAATAAATATCATAGAGTTTAAAGAGATTATAAATGAAGCTCCACTTAGCAAAGCAGCAGGACCATTACAAATCTCTAATAAAATGATAAAATACCTAGGACCGAAAATACTCAACATGCTCTTAATGACCCTAAACCTGTGCCTAAAAACACAGAACATACCAAAAGCATAGAAAAATAGTACAATATACCCAATATCAAAAAGACTAGTCTTTACAGAAGAACTCAAAATGACAAGACCAATAATACTAATAGAATATGCACGAAAGATTCTAATGAAAATAATAACTAGAAGACTAAATATCGTCCTTGCAAAATATGAAATACTTGATCTGACCAACCATGTAGCATTACCTAACATATCTACTGCTATACCAATACAAATATTACAACATATTATAGAAGATGCAAATATAAACAAGAAAAGTTTATAGATACTTTCCCAAAACATAAGCAAAGTGTACGACTCTGTATACATTCCCTAACTCAAAAAAGCTCTTGAACAGATCAAAATACCTAGAATGATAATAAATCTAATTGTGAATATTCTTTCGATACAGCAAAATAAAATTATTACAACATTCGGCAACACAAACCTATATAACATGCAAGATGGCATAGACCAAAGAGAGACAATAACTCCACTATTGTAGAGAGTATACTATGACCCCCTCTTTGCTAACATCAACAGAACTTATAGATCATATACACTAACAACCACAACAGATACAACCAATAGCAAACCAAATACAAAACAAGCTTACAACATACTTGCGTATATGGATGATACGTTATAGATAACAAATAACCAAATCCAACTCAACTCCATTATAAAAACTGCTCAATCTTTCTACAACATGGCCAATATCAAGGTCAACTCAAATAAATCAATACTCGCAACAAACACAACATCGAAAATAGCTCCTACTGCAAGTATTACCTTTAACGACCAAATAATCTATGCAAATACACAAAGTACACCCTTTTGGTTTCTAGGTTGCTAGTTTACAATTAACAATCACTAAAAGGCAGTGCAAAAAATAATAGAAAAAGAAATAAGCAAGGCACTACAACTACTTAAGAAAGCAACTATCACTGAAAAACAAGCAATTTATATAATCAACTCAGTAATCCTAACACAGTTTGAATACAAATCACAAAACTACATTCTCAATAAGAACAAATGCAATAGAATAACTGATCGATATATAACAATCGTCAAACAAAAAGCAGGTCTGCCATGTGGAATCCCTAATGCTACAATATATAACTACAAGTTATACGCCCTAAGGAAAATATAGAATATTATTATACAACACTATATATCATTACTCACTAAACAACTAAACAGCAAAAACAACACGAACCAATTACTCAGAATTAGAATTCAACAGATACAGGATATTGTCATATCAAATAAATCAATTCTAACTTCAAAAACAACAGTCATCCCAATACCAGAAGATAATATAACAACTGCAAAACAAATTATGCTACTGCATAAGTCAAATTTTAGTCTATTAAACCTGCTAGCACCGTGGCCTATCATATACTAACAAAAAGGTACAAGTATCAATCTGATACTAAATGACCCACTAAATTCAGAAATATACAAACAAAAAACCAAACTAAAAGAAAAGTTAAACAAGCATAAACTGTACTACATAAAGCAGTTTACAGACATAAACAACACCACAGTAATAGAATAGAACCAAATAGCATATACAATGCAAAAAATCCCAAAAGGCAGGCAACCAAAATGGTATAAAACAACAGCAGAGATAATACTAACAACTATTACAAAAAAGGAAGGAATGAAACTCATCTAACCTAACCCTTTCTACTCAATTGAAGTCTATAAGAAGAGAAAAGAATAGTAATATACAGAATTCAAAATACACAAATAATTGGAAAGATCATTGCTCACAAACTACATAAACAAATAACTACAACACATTTGAAAATATTAACGAGGAACAAAGAGAACCAACCCCAAAAACTCCAACAATGCAGGGGATGCAAGCTATCTATGACAACTTACTATGTAAAATGTGCAATTGAAGCCAAACTAAACCAATACAAACTAGTAACAGTAAGCAGCAGCAAGAAAATATATGGCTACTTTAAATCTATCACTCAAACAAGCAATACCATTGAACAACAAAACTTGAAAGACAACAACAACATAGATAGCAGACCTATAGACAAAAAAAGCTACCTCTCTCACAATATAATTCACAACATATTTACCAATACAGGAGCACAACAAGACCTAATAATAATAGTGAATGCTATCAAAAATGACAAAAACCTAAGCTTTACAAGAGGAGTTGAGAACCCAATATTACTTTACTTGGAGCATTAAATCTACTTCGCACATATATACAGGAAGAGTAGATGCTTGGTAGCAAAAAATAACAGCAAACATAATCACAATCACAACAATCATAGCAGTTATACCTGCAAGCAGTATAATAACAATTTAAACTACAAACAAACACATACTAACTAATCTACAAGCTATTATTCAGAATACACAAACAGAAAACCAATTGGCAAAA